AGATTTTCCTACAAATATTACTTTGTATTTACTTGACCGAATTAAAATGCTTTTGTATGGTGAAAATACATGCAAAAATGAAGTAGATTATTTCTCACTCAGAAATGAAAACGATGTGGAACTTTTGCCGTTGTGACACTGATTTCCTTTTGCAAAAATTACAGCGCACTTACGGCTCCAATTTATAAGATAAAATTACGTGCGAAAATATAGTGAAACATTGCTCAGTGCATAACTAAAATAATATCTAAAATTTCCATTGCAAATTATATAAAAAGCTTACATATTAGATAACATATTCTTCAAAACAATATTCGTAAACTGCATTTATGCGTAGAACTTCTCTAAAAAAACTCTTTCTTTGATTCACCCAACACACAGGCGGTTTGAAGAATTCATCAGAAAAGCAGCGAAAGCCTATTTCGGAAAGAATGCGAATATCGGCAACGTGGCATTCACATTTACGTAACGTCTATGTGTAAGAAAATTGAAATGACAACGTAGCACACACACTTGCATTCATATATCTATATGTAGAAATAATGCATACATGAAAAAAAAAAAATAGCGGCATTATGTCAGCGCCTATTTGACGATCGCCTCTACGTTATCGACGCTTAGCGAGTTTGTCATTCACTTCAGCATCCCCTTAAGTATTTGGATCGTACACATGAGATACTCGGATATTTAAAATTAACATAATTATTCTTTTCTTCACTTCAGTTCGAATAAATTTCGTTCGCGAATTTGCAGCAGAATCTGCGGTTTTGCTTATACGTGAAACTAGCCGTTATTAATCCATTACAATCCAGCAATGGACAGGCCAGCAAAGTTATGGTTAAACTAACTATTGGGATTAGTGCATTTGGTCAAAATATGATTATCTATGACAAAAAATCAATTTTTCAATTATTTAAATAATAATTTGTTTAAACAATTTATTGTAAAATACAATTTTTTTTTAAATTAATAATGCCATTCGATTCTATGAAAAAAATAATAAAAGGAAAGTATGTTTTAAAAAATTTTTATACAATATATTTATTGCAAAATTTAAATAAACAATTTAATAAAAACGTCATCCGTTTCCGCCCACGAACAGACCAGTAGCAGTATGGTACTAACTATTGGGATTAGTGTATTTGGTTAAAATATGATTATCTATGACAAAAAATCAATTTTTTAATTGTTTAAACAATAATTTGTTAAAACAATTTATTATAAAATGAGTTTTTTGAAGAAAAAATTAAGAGTACAATTTTGCACTGCCGTATCTATTTGTGACAAA